TGTTGTCATTATTAAGGCAAGTCTATGCAATAGAAACAATTATTATTTGTAATTTAACTATTGAATGTTCTCAGTCATTCGAATATAAATTCAAGTCTTTAACTGAAGCGTAATACTCCTTTAAATATCCCATCAGATAGTAAGACCAACAGTTAAAATAACCAACTTTTCCTCGATGCCACTCTATTGGCTTATAAATTCGATTTGAATACTTTTCATAGTTTCTATTACGAATAATATTTTCTCTATGCTGATTTTTTATTTTAAATCCTTGGGTTTGCTACGTGGTACCTTTCTCATTCACAATAGGTTTTTTTTCTTGTACTCTACTAACAATATATTTCAAGGTTTTCCTATTCAAATTTTCCATGTTTCATTGATAGATTTATTTTCCAATACGTGGATCATGAAAATCTACAAACCCCACTGCTTGTCTCTCAAGAAATCATTCATTTACTTACCTGTTTTATAAGAATGCAAATGGAGTATGTGTGTGTATTTGTTTTATAAAGTTACACAGAAATAAAAAATTACGGTGATTGTCGGTTGGAATAATCCTACACGTCTTGTTTTTTTTCTACTTCTTTCAAATAATTCTGAGTAAATTTTGCCATCAAAACTGAAGAGAACTGCATTACAGCATGCGTATTGCTTATCGGTATTGCTCTTGGAAGAAAGAGAACAACAGTGATGTATGAATCGAGCAGGTTTCTATTACTTTACTGACGATATTTGCTCTCAAGTCTTGTCACGTTTATTATGACTCATGGTGACATTACATTATCATCTAGTATAGTTTGACTAAATCATAAAATTACAACTAAGTTGCAATCATGTTTGATGATAGAAGACTTATAGGGAATTTGTTTTGTGAAAATAATTGAACCAATGTACATCATCACTATGGAACTACTCATATAGTGAAAAACATCTTTTGATGAGAAATGTTCTAATCAAACAATGCTCTTTTCAGAGGTGATGTTTTCGAATAGACTTTCTTATAATCAATGAACCATTTGAACAGTTGTCCCCGATAAAATTTGACTGTTTCAAGTTTAAACAATTCTCTCTAAATCTTCAATAGCTATCATAATTTTTTGAGTCATAATGTTGAATCGAAAAACGAGAACGAAACCATTAACTCTATATCTACGAAAGTTTTATGTAGTCTTCTGTAATCTAATAAACTCTAGTGTAGCTTCATAAAAATTTTTGAAATTATTCTCTTTCTACTAATGACCTTCAGAAAATTACAGCTACCACATTGAGATGACTCTTGAGGAGTTCCAGATATGTTCTTCAAGTAGTTCTAGACTATTCTACAATTAGAGAACACTATTTCTGAATACGATGACACATCAGCTAGTATGTCGAATATATAATCATCCTCACGCACTTGTTCTATGTATACTTTGTGTTACTTACGTTATTGATTATTGCTTTAATTTGCATCACGAATAAGTGAAAAAAAGATGAGTTCAACATATCAATTCAAAAATTTCAAGCTCACTTTTCTGTTCACAATTCACTAAGAAGACATTAGTCTATGTGCAATGACAATGTTTACGCATCAGTTATCGATCTCTTTTCTAATTGTGACAGAAGAACCCACATCTTAAGTCTTTGAATATAGTTGAAAAAGTTTAATTCTTCTTTGAATTAAAAAAAACAGTACTTATATTGAATGTTCTTATAGTATGACTTCAATGAAAATAAAACTGTCTAATGGACGATTTGGATGCTTTTAAAAAATGTTTAAGACACTTGGATAAAAAAGTACAAACAATTTCGATAGTTCGAAGCTAAAATGTTCAGATAAAAGATAATATGTGTGGACTAGATACTCTCTGAAACAGGAATAGCATTTTATATTTACTTTTATCAAAGTCAGCTAACGATAAAATATCCTCCTTGCTGAAATACGATTTGAATGTGTTTCGAGTTCATTTTGTTTGATCGTATTAGATAGAATTGTATATACAAAAAAAAAGAAAAAGTAATTTATCTAAATTACTTTTTTTCTCTAGTCAATTATGTGTTTTGAAACGAAACGAAATTTCTATCGTTGCACAAAACGAAAAAATTATTATATTCATAGATTGCATGAAATATTACTAGCTTTTATGATGTAAAATTAAATTGAAGATGTTTTTAAAGATTGAAGAGACGTTTTTTCGACACAACTCAATGTGATCTGTCCAATCATGTGAAAAAAACAATTGTACGGAAACTTCAAATTGGGTACTTCATCCCTTATAGTAAGCGTTGGATGCATTGTCTCCGAAATAGAATTGTTCAACAATTGACTCATTGAATTTGAAATCATTATTTGAATATGACGATACAACAAAAATATTATGCTGAAGACTTCATTCTCAGTGATAGAACTCATCAAACGTTTTGAAAGATATAACTAATAAATGAGATCTCGTATACACTTTTTTTTGGAAAAAATCCATTTATTTTATAGTCAATAGAGCCAGCTCTACAGTAAACTATTTTGTTTGGGGACCTTTGATCAAAAGAACAATAATCGAAACAAGATGATTATTATCTTCCATATTGCTTTCAATGGATTATTCGTTGATAATGATGTTTGAGTCAAAACCAAGAAGAAGAATGATTTCAAATATAATAATCAATATATTTGATAATGTACTTCGAAAGTAACAAATGAAAAATCAGATAGAACAAAATAAACCGCTCTAAGACAAAAAAAGATATGACAGAAACGCGAATAAATGACGGATACTTCTAGATGCGTTTTATTATTGAGAAAATTAAACGAACACCGTTACGTCAAATTTGTTATATTGGAAACAATCATCTCGAATAAAATATAATTTGGTTGATTTTTCATGAATTTATCCTGAAAAAAAAAGAATAAAATTGGCTATAGTTTATTAGTGTAAGTAGCATTCAACTTATCTCAAAGTTCCACTCTACCTTATGAGTTATTAATAATAGTCAGGGTTGTTGCGAGATCATTTAGACTACAAGATGAGTTTGAACAATATTTTCATATGAGATAAACAAGAAGATATTTCTAGAGTATTTTCTAATGATCGAAATTAATGGATAAGAGATAAAACATTCGACTCGAGATACTATGTTCTGTAATGTAGAGAATCAGAATATCATTGTTTTATATTTTGTTCCATCAGAAGCATAACATATACATCATGCAACATCCTAAAACACTACATGTGAAACGTCCTTTTTTGAATAAATCTTTTGCTTGAAGCACAACAGATTCTACGGTCTGTTCTAATGTTTCTTAGGCCTTTTTTTGTCTAAATCAACCAATATCTTTCTACTTGTGTAATCTGAAGCTATAGTTCAAATATTTTCAGGATTTTTCACCGTTGACAACATAGATATATCATGGCTTGTATTTAAGGGGTTCCCCCCTCAGAAAATCGATTGTTTTTGAAAAAAATCGATTTTGAGATAAGCACACATGCTGAAAGCCCAAAGTGTCCTCTTTCAGGTTATGTGCGATTTGTTGCACTTTGAATGGTTTTAGACGGTGAAAAGAGCGGTTTTCTGGGAGAACTGGTAGAAATATAAGGTTTTATCAGATTTTTTAGCTAGGGAGATGTGACAGTGGTCAACAAACTTGTAGATTTTGTTTAATGAAAAACACATATACGTTCTATTATATTAGTTAATTAGAGGAACGTAGTTATTTCTGCTTAAAATCCTGTATACATGATGAAATTGCCGTAATGAAGTCGTGACAGTCATAGTGAAATTAAAAATTATTTCATACAACTTTGTTGATTGGTTTTCTCAAAATCACTTTGTTGGAGAGTTAGAAACGGATTTCTCGAACTGTAGAAGAGGTAGCAAGCTACCGTTTTCTTTAAATAAAAGAAGACTCCTGTGTCTAGAAATGTATATACTGTTTTTTCGAAATTCGATTTCCTTGCGGAGATAAATGGATAACACTGATGTCAAAAAGCGCTATTTTCCGAGTTAGTGCAGAAAAATGTCTCGAAAATCCGAACAAAATCGAATTTCGAAAAAACGGTACATACATTTCAAGATTTAGGTCTTCTCTTTTATTTAAAACAAACGGCAGCTCTCTACCTCTTCGACAGCCCGAGAAATCGGTACCTTACGAAGATCACCATTTTGAGGACTAATTCGTCAATAAGTCATTAAAGCAAAAACCTTATGAGCCAAAAATTTGCAAGAAATTAAGCTAACATAACACACATATTGCCTGAAAATTTCAGCCAAATTGGACCACGAATAACGAAAACCAATTCCTGAGGGGGGAGGGAGCCCCTTAATTGTTCAGTATTTTATTATCAATGTTCAGTAAATTTTTTATCATATGTTCAGTAGTTCTTGTTCAGTAAAAAATTATTTTTTGCTTAGTAAATAATTCAAGAAGTTTAGTAATTTATTTAAAAAGATTCAGTATTTAATTTATTTTTGTTTAGTTTTTTAATAATGTATTTCAGTAAAAAAAAGTTTAATTACAATTATCAGCAATTTATTGCATCAGTAACGCCTTTTTGGATTTTGCTGGCCTACCAAGACGTCTTTTTTCACCAATTTTAATATTTTTAGCAGCAGGTGGTGGTTTGCGGTAGTTTAATCTAATTGCCATTCCGACAATATGTTTACACATAAACTGTTTGAAAAATGCTGGACAATTGCACATACCATCTAATCACTTTAATTTATCTACTGGTAATGTAACAGACCAAATATTGAATGTTTTTTTTATATTGATCAAAGGAGTACCATTTCATTTTCTTCACTACAGCAATTTCGACGTTTGTAATTTCTGTTTCACTCTCAGCTGGTATATAATATTGAACTAAATTATCACATTCAGTCGAAAGTATTGATTTGTTTGATTTGACCCATTGATACCCGCTTGTTCATAATTCCAATGAGATTGTTTGCTTGTAATTGTATTGCTTTACACCTCGTTCATAAGATTTCGACCATTTTTCAACAATTTCAAATGCTAATACTTTAAATCATGATAAAAGTAGACGTTCACGAAGTGTATTTTCCTTTTTTATAGCATTGTTTGTGGCTTCTAAAGCATTATTTGTACTTGGTGTAAAATGGTCAACTCCTTCATGCCATGCATCATGTGTTGTTAGCCATTCGTTTTGGAAACATTCTACGAAATTTGGTTCTGTTTTCGACCATTTTTTCACAAATACATTTGAAGCTTTCATAAATAAACGTTCATTTTTGTGCTAATTGTAATGATTCTATATCATTCACCAAATCTTCTTGTTTCGATTTCTTGACCATTGACTCTATCTTTTTCACCACTTTTCTACGCATATGCGCCCAACATATTACCATTGGTTTTTCTCCAAACACATCTTGAAAAGTATTGCGTGTGGCATCAGCACAATCAGTGATTAAAAACTCTGGATTAATTTCTTCTAAATTCAACTTTTGTAAACCTTCTTGTAAAGCACGAAATATAAATCTAAAATTCTGTGTTGCTTCATTGTAACAAACAGCCATGCCAAATAAATGAAAGTATCGATCAAGATTAGTTGTACTAACAATGAGAACTGGAAATCCTTGCCCCAACAATTTATAAGTTGTATCAGCATAATTTTTTTGATCTCGAAGCAATTTGCAGAAGTCTTTTTGTTGTAATAAAAAATCGAAACTTGTTTTCATTAATATCACCATCATCAATATCTCCGTTTTCATTTTCATCATCATAAATAATTTGATGTGATGCAACAAAAGGAGTATCAGCTGATTCTGGAATTGATTGACTTGATTCTAGACACCGTTGTTCAATTTCACCAAGACTAATTGAAGTTGGACCTAGTTTTGTACTCATAATGGACCTTAACAAATTATTTAATTGGTGAATGCTTGGTACTGCTATTCCACGTCCATGAAGTACTTCGATTATTGCTTTCAGTTTCAATTTTAATTCAAATAATTCTTGTATAATTTTTTTTACTTCAGTTGTTATTCTTGAAGGTTTTTCTTCTATGTTATCATGGATATGGTCTGATGTGGTGCGAAATAAAACAACTTTATCATTTGTAGATTCAAATAACAAATAAATATCAGCATCACATTGTTTACCACGAGCTTTACCTTTATTACATCTAAAAAATTTCTTTTTTCCTGCAGCTATATTGTATTTGTATAATGATAACTCCATTGATTTTCTTTGATCACCACTTCTTCAGCTTCTTCGGTGTTGTTAAACACCATTTCTTCTACCCAATTGCGTTGTCTCTTTCACTCGTTTCTTGTTTCCATTATTTACAGTTTCACTTTTATCCATCTCATCGTCAGAAACATAAGTTGGTACTTCAACAATTTCCACCGCAATTTTCATTTTTAAATCAAATTAGTAATATTAGTTTTGGTAAATCAAAATTCAGCTTATTCAAAAAAAACGAGCTATTTATATACGGATAGGCAAAAGAGCAAACAACGGGAAGACGTCGAGAATCTTCTTCTCCTTTGTTAAATCGAGAACAACTATAATAAAATATAAAAAGTAGGTCAAGAAAAGATGACATCGATGAGGAGAACAACATATGTATACAATTATCGAGGGCAACTATGTAACATAGTATCTTTTGACTGATGACATCATCATCAACCAATGTGGACAAGCGTTCTCCTATTTACATCAAAATATTTTCATCGAAAAAAATAAGTGATTACTGACAAAAATACTACTTTTTACTGAGTAAATGAATTTTTGAATCAGCAAACTGAATTAATTACTGAAACTTTAATTTTGATACTGTGCAAACAATTAATTAACTGAACGAACGTAATAGTTACAGAACATTAAATTTTACACTGATAGTTTGATTTCTTTACTGAAAATTTGTTCCCTAGACTGAAAGGCTAGGGTCTAGAAACCTAAATTTTCTGTGTTTGGATCGGTGACGCCTGTGTTTGGATCTGTGACATCTGTGTTTGGATCGGTGACGTCTGTGTTTGCATCGGTGACGTCTGTGTTTGGATCCGTGACATCTTTGTTTGAATCGGTCGCAGAGGTTGTTTGTGCATTTTGATCGGGTCTTCGAGGTAAATTTGGCCTTTTGGTGGATTTTCTAGCTACATGCTCGATTCTATTGTTTGCCATTTTTTTTCTAGTTAATTTTCAAAATATCGTAAGCTTTTTCTGTCTTTTAAATATCAGTCTTCCCTGATTTGGTTTCAGTTTTCGTATTTTATCGCGCTTTTTTCTTAATTTCACTTTCGAGTATCTCATCATAAATAGTTTAGTTTTCTTTGAGTTTGTTTACTTGAATACAATATTGTGGCGAAATAACGGTGCCAACTCGTCGCCCACGGATCTTAATTCTTCCAGTAACATTCACGATTATATGAAAATGGATGTCCGCTTGTCGACTTCTACCAACCGAATGCGAGCTTTTCGTGCCCGTCGTGCTCTCGTTGAGACTGCTGAACAAAAAGAGAGTCGTCTGGCTATTGACAGACAATACAGAAAACAGCGATTGATCGATTTTGGTGTCAAAAAAACAGTCGAAGAGAAGCAAACGCATCTTATATCACGTAGCCAATACGAAGTGAAACGTCTAGCCGATAAACGTGCAAAAGAAAACGCAAAGGAGAGAGAAGAACGTCTTACAGCCAAACGTGCTAAAGAAATGAACCGCCGACACAACTTACGAGTGCGCGAGACTGATGCGGAGCGAAATACTAGATTAGAACGTGATCGTGATCAACATCGGTAAGACTCATAGTTTCTTTGTTTTTTCTACCAAACATTCCTTTCTTTTCGACTCATAGGGCGAAAACACGTGCCAAAAAGAGCAGTCATCCTATTCCCCAAAGTTACACATTCCTGCATCGTGTAAGGCCATCAAACTCATCATCATTCAATTCCGGAACTCCTGCATACCAATTCCTACCCATGCCATCGAATTTTATGCAATTCCTGCCAATTCCTGCATAGACTGATGTATTCATGTTCAACTGCACATTGTTATAGAAACAAAGATGCAATTCCATATTAGAATTTCGGAATTGCATGGATAAGGAATGACCAAGAATTCCTGCCAATTCCTGCATAGGTTCAGGTATTCATGTTCAACTAAACCTTCCTACGGAAATTCACATGCGATTCAGGTTTAGAATGCCGGAATTCCATGGGTATAGAATTACCCGGAATTCCTGCATTTCCTAGTCATTCCGGATATGTACAAAATTCCGGAATTCCGCTTTCCATTTATTCAAGCTCGATAAATGTTCACTTAGCCATCCATGAGGTATTTGTAATTCCGGAATAGGCAGGAATGACCAGGAATTCCTGCATTTCCTAGTGATTCGGGAATTACACGTCATATATAGAGCTTGAATAAAGGCAAAGCGGAATTCGGGAATTTCTGCACATCCAGGAATCAGTAGGAAATGCAGGAATTCCTGGTCATTCCTGCATATTCCGAAATTGCACCTACCTCATGGATGGCTAAATGATCATTTATCGAGCTAGAATAAATTCAAAGCGGTATTGGGGAATTTCTGCACATCCGGAATCACTAGGAAATGCAGGAATTCCTGGTCATTCCAGCATATTCCGGAATTACAAATATGTCATGGATGGCTGACTGATCATATATCGAGCTTGCATAAATGCAAAGCGAAATTCGGGAATTGCTGCACATCCGGAATCAGCAGGAAATGCAGGAATTCCTGGTCATTCCTGCATATTCCGAATGTGCAGAAATTCCCGAATTCCGCTTTGCATTTATTCAAGCTCGATATATGATCAGTTAGCCATCCATGAGATATTTGTAATTCCGGAATATGCAGGAATGACCAGAAATTCCTGCATGTCCTACTGATTCCGAATGTGCAGAAATTCCCGATGTGCAGAAATTCCGGAATTCCGCTTAACGTTTATTCAAGCCCGATAAATGATAACTTAGCCGTCGATGAGATATTTGTAATTCCGGAATATGCAGGAATGACCAGAAATTCCTGCATTTCCTAGTGATTGCGGATGTGCAGAAATTCCGGAATTCCGCTTTGCATTTATTCAAGCTCTATATATGATCAGTTAGCCATCCATGAGATATTTATAATTCCGGAATATGCAGGAATGACCAGGAATTCCTGCATTTCCTAGTGATTCCGGATGTGCAGAAATTCCTGATCTGCAGAAATTCCGGAATTCCGCTTTGTATTTCTTGAAGGTCGCTAAATGATCACTGAGCCATCCATGAGATATTCGTAATTCCGGAATATGCAGGAATGACCAGGAATTCCTGCATTTCCTAGTGATTCCGGATGTGCAGAAATTCCGGAATTCCGCTGTGTATTTCTTCAAGCACGATGAATGATTACTTAGCCATCCATGAGATATTTGTATTTCCTGAATATGCAGGAATGACGAGGAATTCCTGGTAGTGACATGTAATTGAGGGAAAGGGTCGTGTAGGCATATCCGGAATTGATGGTAAGTGATTCCGATTCAGAAGGCAATGCAGGAATGTGTAACTTGTGGGAATAGGAAGCATTCTCGCGAAAAATGATTCAAATATGGCAACTGACCGAAATTGCGCTGTATGTGGCTATAAAATCCTGACTCAAAATTGGTCACAATTAACTATCAGATCGTTTCCGAACCTGCATCTTCTTCGACCTCAGAGCAACGAGATATCGAATTCTGTTTTGAAAATTAATTTTTCACGATTTACCAGTAAGGATCTTTATTGATCGGAAATCATCATTTTGAAACGTTTTCTAACTCAAAATAGGCTATGTTCGACGAATGTTAGAAACTTTCTCTGGTTTCGATGTTCTCGTGAATGGAGCACTGTTAGGACTATGCGGGATCGATACGAAAACTGGATTGATAGTTGTGTGCCGTGGTTGCCAGACCTCTTTACAAAACAATGCTACGCCTGCGTCGGCTTTGAGCTGCCTATACTCTCCAGATGATGTTTTGGATGAAGAATAACTTTTGTACCGTATTTAAAATTGACGTTGGTTAATGTTTTTAACCTGTTCTAACATAAAGACGAAACATCTCCGTATTTAAATCTAAATTCCTTTTCAGTTGGTCACTTAATAATATCCTAACTATGAACGGTAGAAAGACTTCATGGTTTCCATGAATGCCATCAGTGCTCAAAAACCGAGCTACGAAAGCTTAGTAATTAGTTCTTTTTAAATTTCTTGTTTCAAAATCTCCAGTTCTTTGGTCATTCAAATATATTCAACACTCAACAGTCTACGGTAAAGTGA